AATATCATCAAGGTATTCCTCTTCAAAGTGTTTACACTAATGCTTTAAACTACTCGTTATTATGTTTATCTGTGGCATAAAAACCTGCATTTATTTATTTTTTATAATATTTTATTATAGCTTGACTCCACAAAGTATTTTTGATACAAGCAGGGAATTTTCAGCATGTGATATGGGTAGTCCAAATTTAGCAGGCGAAACAATGATGTCAGGTGTGCGGCTTATATAAATGTCCAAAAGATTCTGGGGTTTAACATACCTGTTTAACGTATCTTGGTAAAATCTCCGGTAGTAACAACTTTGTGCAGGATTTAATATCTGCAGGAGGGTGTGATAAAATCCAGTTAAATTTACTCTGTTAAAAATGAAAAAAAAATTATGTGATTTCATAGAGTAAGAATAAGATATCTGTTGAGTTATTTTTATCGGTTGTTAAACGTTTCTCTGTTGGTTTAATAAATCAATAACGAATGATTTTCCATATTAGTTTGTTTATTAGATGTATCACACAGTGAAACAGGATTATTTACTGGATGACGTTTCGAACAAAATTTATTGTTCATAATCATAATTATAATTATAATCACACGACTTTGAAACTTGAGTTTTATAGTTTTCTTTGTTTTCTCCTATTTGTCGAAGGGGGAGTAGAATTTTCCAGATAGCTGGGAGAGGTGTTGAATCATTCCTATTACATGTATTTGTAGTTGATTCGATAAACAAAGCTTCTGTTATCAATCTCTCCCTCCAACCTGTAACATTAGATTTTAAAACTGTCATCCTCTCTCATCCATCCTATTGTATGGTTGTGTGTAACTGCATGTAGTGCTATAGCTGAACTATTCTCTAGATTTCTTATCTTATTTGGATCAACCAATCTAGATTTTGCTAAGTTTTTATGTTCGGCTAGTCTGACTGCCCCTGTTCTACTAGTTTGACCTTTGTATTTGACCTGACAATCATTGCAGGCAGGGTATTGGGTAAACTAAATTGTTTTGTTTTAAAGACTCCACAGGATCTTGTAACCGACAAAGCTTGTTTCTAATTGAGTTTGTGGGTTTGAATGCCATTTTTATTCCTGCCTTGTTAAGAATTCTGCGTAAGGCTTCCGAGGTTCCTTCCTTGTATGGAATTACTACTGATGATTTAGATTCCTTATTGTTGGTGTCATCATTAATAATAATATTATTATTGTTATTGTTAATTATTATTATTATCACTATTATTATTATCATTATTATTGTTATCACTATTATTATTGTCACTATCGCTGCTATCATTATTTATTTTATTTTTACATTTCCTTACATATTTCCTGACTAATTTATCCGGGTAATTATTAAGTTTCAAGGCTTCTTTTATATGCCTCACTTCATGTCTTAGATTTTCCTTGGTGCTACTTAGTTTTTGTGCTCTGTCACTTAAACATTTCACCAATCCTATTTTTACTGACATAGGATGGGATGATTGGAAGTCCAAATATCTGTTTGAATGTGTGGGTTTCCTGTAAACACTAGTGTTTAACTTCCCATCTTCTTTCCTTTTTACGTTGCAATCTAACATTGGGATCTCCCCTTCCTGACTTTCCAATTCATAAGTGAGTTGAATTGCTTCAACCTTCTAGTTTATGTGTTCGAAAAATCTATCTGTATCTTGTGTTCTAAGTACAGTGGATGTATCATCTACATACCTGCACCATACTTTTGGGGTGGGGGTGAACCTTTCAATCGCTATGTTTTCCCACCTATCCATGAATATATCTGCTACAACCGGGGATATTGGTTACCCCATGACGACTCCCTTAGTTTGGTTGTACATTTTCCCTTGAAATTTAAATACTGTGGAAGTCAGGCATAGCTGTACTCCCAGCATTATGTCCTCAAGTGGCACTTTTTTCCTAAGTTCGAATTCTTGGTCAGAAATGAGTTCGTTTCTGACTGCCTCTATAGCTATATTTATTGGTATACGTATATATAAACTGACAATGTCAAAACTAACCATTTTTTCTTCATTATCTAATTTAAAATTATCTATTCTGGTGCGTCCGTGGCATAGCGGTTAGGACGCTCGCCGACCATGCACATGGTCCGGGGTTCGATCCCCAGCCGACGCACTCCTTTACCTCGCTAAGCCAGAAATAATGCTGGTGAAGAGGAAAGGTTGGGCATGAGGCTAGCAACTACATCCTGTATAATAAACACTGCTACAGAAACTTCACGCTACTAGCTTGAAGCCCTATGTTCCACTGGGGAACGTGAAGGATAAAAAAATCTGTGTTTTAGTTCGTAAGAATTAGTTAGTCTAGATTTCGAGTGGCATTTTAGGGGATTTAATAACAGTAAATAACACTGCTTCACTGTGTGATACATCTAATAAACAAACTAATATGGAATTACTTACTACCACAGTGCCCAAGTTTTACACATATATTAACGAATGAATATGTTAGGTTAGGTTTATTATATTTTATGGCATTCTCGTCATTCAGCTGAATACAAGCCATAAAGGTTAAAAATTTAAATTACGATTCGCAAATCAGTATACCTGAAATGAGTTATCTGAGAAATGAGATAATCATGAAGGAAGACTGGAAGCTCCATCTACCGTCATCTCCTAGATACGCGACATGGCGTCGAAAAACGCAAGTAGTGTATTCAGAAGAGTTATTACCGATAACCTCTAAAAACGTATTGCAATTTAGACGCTAAAACATGATCTTTCTACTGGAACGAGCCAACGATTAATCTGCGAGTGTGATCAACTGTTTTACTGTGATGTTTTATTTCAGTCTTGTACTTGTCTCATATTTTAGCGAAATAAGTTTGACTCTGTTAAAACACTTGTATATCTTCTAACTATGATTACAACTCATTGATTCAATGTTTATATCCCATCCTTACTCTGCATATATTCATGGTTATGTTCTAAAAACGTTTTCTATGTTTTTACAGTGCATTACTCATCAGACAATTCGAGTTTTTACACCATGACTAGATCATTTCACAAATTTCAAGCATGTTCATAAATATTCTAAAGGCAAATGTTAATCTCTAT